GTAATTACGCAACTTTGATGAACATTCACAGCCGTTAGGGTGGTTACCCCTAAACCCTCTTTCATGGTGGCTGATGTCCATTTTACCTCTGACCTAGTTTGTAAAATCCTTATGGGATAGAGCCCTGAAATATTCTCCTTAGTGATGCACGTTCACAGTATAAAGGGCTTTGTTAATAATTATTTTTTAAATTATTCACGCAGCCATCTAACCTGGCAATTATTATTCCTTGTGTAAATTTCCCAAAAACCTTCCTAATCCGGATGCTCTGCTCCCAAACCCCTGCCCGAACACCGTTGTTGCAAACTATTTTCTTCATATCTGACATTTTTCTGTAAATACATACCAAGGGAAATAATATAGAAGCAGTGTGTCTCATTTTCTGTTGTTCTGTCTATTAGAAACAGTTTACCTTGTGCCATACGGTTGTGTGAAACTGAAACTATACTGGGGCTTTTCCCCCTAAGTCTCCATCTGGGGGGATGCTACTGCCCCCCTCCCTGGTTTGCAAAATATTCACCTTGTATGTTCTGGCAGGATAGAGCCCTGGCACTCTTACCATAAGTTATAATTCTAACAGGGCCAGCTTACAGGTTATTGGGAATCTTTTTCATTGTTGTGTTTTTCTGCTCTTCTTTTTTGTTATTTCCATGAAATCTTGTTAAGGAAGTGAAGTACTTTTCCTTACATCTTTGTATTCTGCCTAGCCACAGTGGAACTGATTTGAACACACTCACTCGCTCTCTCTGCTCTCTCTCTGCTCTCTCTCTGCTCTCTCTCTCTGCTCTCTCTCTGCTCTCTCTCTCCTCTCTCTCTCCTCTCTCTCTCTCCTCTCTCTCTCCTCTCTCTCTCCTCTCTCTCTCTCTCTCTCTCTCTCTCTCTCTCTCTCTCTCTCTCTCTCTCTCTCTCTCTCTCTCTCTCTCTCTCTCTCTCTCTCTCTCATTTTTTGTTTTTCAGGTCAGATATATTTCTACAATTTTACAAGTCATATTTATATTCTCTATAACTTTTGCAGGCCAGAGTATGGTGCATTCTGGAAATGTGTACAAGTAGGAGGAATGTACATGCTGACACAGCTATGCAAAATGCTGCTGCTTGCAACATTCTTCCCAACGTCAGATGGTCCTCCAGAAAGTGCCAGTTTTATAACGGTGAGATTCTTGAAATCCATTTTCTAATTTTCACATATTTTTGCTGTATGCTATGTATATGTGATTTCTTGTGCTTTTGTATTTTAGTAGGGAGAGCTTGGTTGATGAGATTGGAAGGGAGATAGTATTGTTATTATTATTATTATTTTAAAATCTAGATTTGATTTTAAGGCACAAGTCTTTGAAAAGATGGAGAAAAACTGAAGTATTAGCCAGAAATAAAAGCACTATTAGCTACAGAAAAAAAGAAAAAAAAAATTGTGTTAAGTAAAAGTCCCCAAGTCCACATCCTACACTCACGCGACTAAATCCAACGTGCTATGGCCTTGGCAATCTGGGAAAGGCGCGCAAGCATGTGTTTATGTTCTGGCAAGGGAGGATATTTTCACCAGAATATGTGGAGAAGGTTTCTTGGCCTTTGCTGGAGGACAAGAGGCCATGGCATTACTTCATGTGGTCCTAATACCAATACTATTTTTATTTGTTATAGTATGTTGAGCTGCTTCTTAGACCAGATAGCTGAGGTGGTCTTTTTAGTGTTGGTTAATAGGTTTTATGATAGGAATTTTTGAATGAAGGACCACATCTGTCGGAGGTGGTAAGTCTTGCAGTTGCTGTGGTTGCTATGCCTTCTGTGCTCCAGTAAGAGCCAAAAGACCTCCACCGTATATATTGAGCAAGATAGAGCGAGGACTGCTTTCTTGGGTGATGATAAACCACCATAGAAGTCTATGACCTCTTTCTTGCCAAAATGTACGAAGTGGAGGCTTATTGTTGTTTTGCTGGTGTTGGAGGCATGGCAGGATTAGTGAGTGATGATTCACAGTGGTTATATCTTTGATGAGCGATTGTAGGCATGCCTTCACTTTATGCAGGCTGCAGAGCTAGTAATTAAGTGTTCATTAAGGGCATTACCTTTGTGCCTATTTATGTCCATACTATCCTTGTTTCAAGTTTACCAATGAAAATATTTTTGTAAGAGAACAGAATAGATTTGAAAGAAAGGAATAGCTATGAGAAGCACTTTCTTAGGTCTGATCCAGACTTCCTGTGTGCCAGATGGACATTGGAATGTTAGCTGTTTTTGCCTGAAATAATGAGTGTTTACCATGTAGTTTGTTATATTTTGAATTGTTTTCAATTATTTCAGTATTCGTACTAATACTGCCAGATGTCTTCCAAAGAATTCCCCGTGTATTAATGATTTTTTTATTTCCTCTCGGCATTTCAATTAATCCACCCCACAAATTGCAGGAAGTGGTGAAGACAACAGTGGACTTCGGAGACGTTATGGGCCTGAGCATTGTGATGGGTCGTGTGGTTGCTTCGGGACACATCAAAGTGCTCATTGCTGGCCTAGGGTGGGCAGCAGCCGACCTGTTCTTGACGCGTGCCCTCCCTCTCTGGGTGGGCGCAAGGGGCCTGGAGTTTGACTGGAAGTACATTCAGATCAGCTTGGACGCCAATATCAGTTTGGTAAGAGCGAAGCGGGGTAGAGTTTTGTTGACCTTCCCCCCCCCCCCTTCTGAACTTATTTAGATTTTGTTGTTGTTCTTTTCTTCTTGTTGTTCTTCTTTTACTTCTACTACTACTACTACTACTTCTTCTTCTTTTTCTTTTTCTTTCTTGTTCTTATTTTTTTTGGTCGTCTTCTTTCAGTGTTCCTCCATTTCTTTGTAATAGAGATGTTTGTTCCAGTAAAATTTAAAAATTTTACTTATAGCTTTATATCTGTATCTATCAATCTGCCTATCTATCATGTCATCTATTTTTTTTTGGAATAATAGCAATAATTGGAGTCATAGCAAAAAGTAAATAAATAAATAAAATAAAAAAATAATGTGTACACTGTGCATATGTTTATTTATTTTTTTTATTATTATTATTATTTTTTTTTTTTTTTTTGTAATGGCAACCCATAATATCTTGACAGCAAATTGTCCTTTAAAGATTACTGGAACTAACTATTACTATTATGTTATGTCACTATAAACAGTTGAAGTCTTGTTATACTGTTGGAAAAGGAAAATTAAACTATATGTGCTAGTTACTGAATATCTGCGCCATCATTTGTGATAATATTTTCTTGTTGTTGATGTTCTTCCTGCAACTTTGTTTTGAATGATACTATAGATGGCCATGAAATTAAGTCGCCAAAGGAGTCTTGCCTCTTGTATACCCTTTTCTTTGATTTATGGAGAATTTTTTTTTTTCGCTTTGCTATTAGTATTGATAATATTATAATAATCCCAATGTCAATAACGGTGACATTAATAACATTGAAAAAATAAAACTTTCTCAAATATTAAAAAATGGAAAGATCAAGTGAGGTCTGGTAGGTCTATTGATTGGCTCCTCGGTGACAAGCACTCGTGGAGCCATCTGTGTTAATAAAATTCATGAAACAACTACAGTGGACAATAATTACCTGTCACTTAGAGATTAACTTGTTCGATAACGGTTTTACTTATGCATAAAGCCATTAGGTTTTTCCCTTTTTTCTTTGGAATAAGTTAGATTGAAACATTCTCCTTACTGCACATTAGCTCCTACAAGGATTTTGCTGGTCTACTCCCAACTGAACCACACCCCCCTTTCCAGGTCCACCACCTCAACATGGCTCTCCTTGTGTGGCTTTGGTGGCGCACTAGCCTGGCCTCGGCACTTCGACCCATTGTGGCGGCGCTGATCGTGGGCTGCGTGTACAGGCCACTCCTGCCCCAGCTGCTCACCATCCTCCTGGGGGCTAGGCCTTCAGGATTCACCCTCCTCTCTGCCTTTGCGATACCCACCCTGTGCACCACGCTCATCGCCGGACACATTTTCATCACCCATAGTTCGTCCATTCGGTCCTACTAGGGATCTCCATGCTAAGAGATCCTCGGCTCGAGTGTTGTCACTGTGTGAAAGTGTCATTATGGAGCAAATTTTATTATATATGTTATCTTTGTTTTGAATTCTCAGTCTTGTTTCATTCATGTGTGGATTTCATTTGTGGTTCAATAGATGTATTATATTAACAGATACTATACAGATACCATAATGAAGAGTGCTATTGGCCAAACGTTATCAAAAGACACGTATTATTAACCTTGATGGAAGTTATTAGAATGTATCAGTAAGTTAGTACTGGTATTTGTTAATATTTGATTGTTTCCGAGATAGTTCATCTGAGATATAATCAGTTTTACAATCTCTATCTACTTCTTTTTTTGTTAGTTTCTACATTCTGTAAATTCTGTATTTTTGTTGTGTACAGAAATAAAGGTCTTTTATATATAAAATTTTATTTTTTTTTATACAATAGAACATATTTAGATAGCATAGTCCTCATACAAAATATACACACATATTAATGGTCATGTACTTTCGACCATCTGGTGGTGCAATCCTTACACGAAGAACTAAAGAAATATAGTCTTTAGTAGTTAAGGGCATGCACAAAACTACAACATTTGCTAACTTCCTAGTCAAGTCAGATCAGTATCATATAAAAAACGGGTAAGAACAAGATCTTCAATATGCATTTGTATTTAACAGAACAAATAACTAGTGAATGTTCTTGCTTATGTATATATAATTCCTTTTTTTTTTTTACTTTTTTTTTTTCTTCCCTTAAAAGAAAAGAGCATATCCAACAGGCACAGTAGTCCACTCACTCAAGTGCACAAAGCTAACTACACCAATGTAATTGTGTTAGTAAAGGATTGTTCTCCTTCCATACTAAATATCAGAGAAGTTTAATATTACTAAGAGGCCAAATTCATAACAGTCCTGGGAGAGTTAAATACAACTATACGTCACTGAAGAAAAGTAACAGGACAGCCGTAGCAAAGTTTAGTTCTGAAAGCCATGAGGCGTAATTTCATTTTATTGGCTAGTTGTGTGTATGAAGAAAGAATACTTAAAAAAAAAAATTGTTAAATAATAATAATTGTTTTTCACTCTCGCGGGGATATGTGATATGTTTCAAGTATGCATTCTACTTGTTAAAACAGAAGAGATGATATGTTGCTTCTTGTTAATAACAGCCTGAAAGTGAATAGTTCAGCTGTTTTAGGCTAAGGCTAGGAATACAGGGAAAAATAACTACTTGTAGCACACTACACAGGAGGTTATATTCTATTACATCAAACACTGAATGTCACTGAAGCCAAGACTCCGTGATCTCTACATCAGTGAGTCTAACTCTTTTTATACTTTATTTTCATACAGCACATGTATGCGTTTGAACAGTGAAAATATAAACACAGGTTGATTGTCACAACTTTCAAAAAGAACAGAAAAAACAAAAAACGAAAATAATGACTTTTATTTCATAGTATTTACTGAAGATTGTCAGTCCTTAGTTTAATGGCAAACGTAAATTTTCCGAATGGATCTCAGAAGGCCGTCGCAGGGGAATTGGCTTGGTGGGATCCACATGTAAAATTTACCCAAGGGATCCTCTGAAGCACACACACAGGAGACTCAAGGGCAGGGAGGCCACACCGCTAAAATAACTGGGCGTTTTTGATGTTAGTAGTTATTAGTCGACTAATAGAGAAAGAGAAGCATGGACAAAGGACGTGATGTAATTTGTAAGTGGGGTGAAAAAATCAGCAGCAGATGATTATTTGTTGAAATACAGTTAGTAGTGTTAAAGACATTGCATTTCAAAACTAAGGAGTGACTGATAAAAATTGCTGAACAAGTTGTGATTTGATCAGTAATTTCTAATCATATATCAATCACATATGCACACAAACAGTAACCTATACTTCCAACTTATCTAAACAAAAGAACATACAATGCATACACAGGGAAAACGCTGCAACATATCTGTATTTGCAAATAGAATGAGTCGTTATATTTATAAAACAAAGAATAAAAAAAGACCTACTTTCTACAGAAGAAATTGCTAAAAAAAAAGAAAAAAAAAAAAAAAAAAAAAAGAACAGCATGTAGCATTGACATCTCGCAAGCAATACCTTCCATCCCATTAATTGAGGCTGCAACGATAGCACAGTCGCATACAAGAGGGGAGGGGGAAACAAAGCATGTTACAAAAATATCTTCCAAACTAATGGAATGAAACGCAGAACTTCGAGCGAGAAGCACACACAAAAAGCGACTACCTCTTCACCCCCTAACCCATTCGGCTTCAAACCAGAGGCATGGAGAAACGCACTGCAAATTGCATTGACAGTAGGGATATTGAGCAGCAAAACTATCAACAAAGTTGTCTTCATGGAGACTGGTCCCGCTGTACACCATCGTTACATGTATTATTATGATGCAGCTTACCATTTCTGAATTGCCTCTGGGTTGAAGGGAAACAAGCCCCATTTTGGGAAAATCTGCACATTGAGCGATGGTGAATTGGTCAATCATGAACACTTAGTGAAAAATTTTTAATCAAATGGCTCTTCCATACAGATCCTTCCCAAATGAGGCTAACCAACAATCATCCTGCCAAGACTACCATCTTTTTGAAGCTGGGGATATCAGTGCGAGGCCTTTCAAAATATCTTGTGAAGGTCTCGGCAAAACAAAGCCCTTCCTGGTTCATTGTTCCCTTGCAATGGAATCAGGGGAGATTGAAAAAAAAAAAACATGAACAAACAGCAAGAGATCAGAAAGTCCTAAATTTTGAAGGGTGGAGTTCCAAATCTTCTGATCTTCCCATGTGGTTCTCCCATTTGTCCTCACTGTTTACAAATCCTCCAGGTTTTCAAAAAGACGTGCATCCTGAGCTCAGGCAACCGACTCGAAGTAGCGACTACGTTGGTTGTTGCGCCAAAAGATCCCTTGGGCTGTATCCTAGAAGCGGTCTTTGGGAAGTGTTGACATCTCAGACTCCTGCAGGAACTGGATCTCCTGCAGGTCCATGAACTTTTCTTGGTCCTTTATGTGAGCGTAATTTGCTGCCAAGCACATCAGATAATGTACCTAGAAGAAAGGAGAGAACAAGTGAATGCGTGATTGGTATAAAAGTTTAAACTCTGAAGGCAGTAATAGTGTTATCAACATGTTTTACTTTACTACTCCTTTCAAATGTAATAATCCTACAAAAGGAATATCATTTCTAAAAACACAAACACCAACACTAATACCAACTACAAGAGAAGCAAGGAAATGATGGCCCTCAACATCATTTTCATACTTTAAAAACAAGAGGGGAAAAAATAATAATATTAAACCTGAAGAGGAGAATAAAGGGCTATCAAAAGGAATCTACACTACTTCTTGTACCTCCATCTTATATACCTTATATTAAAATAAGAGGACAAAACATGACGCAAAAAAAACAAAGAAAATCAGCCACGAATCTTACCAATGACAAAATCACCAAAAAGGACGAAACCGACGCAAGAATGAACATGATTTCTGCATTGTTGACGTAGTCTTTGCAGAACAGCTTCTTCTCGCCATCGCACACCCTCTTGTCCTCCTCTGGGGTTCCCTCGGGAAACAGAAAACCTGGAGGATGAATGACCTTGTTAGAACACTTTAAAAACAATACATTTCTGTCATTCACTTGGTACAAAAAAATCACATTTCTTGAATATCTAAGGTGTTCATGAAAACAAAGTAATCCAATCACAAAGTACAACGAAAATAAACCTAGAAAATGTAAAGAATGTTCCTAAGCTTTACCACCAACATCGTTACTCAAAACAGACCACAATATTACTTACTAAACTGATTGTAGTCGATACAGTCATTCTGAGGGATATACTGACACTGCAACCACGCAAGAGTATAGAACAGGGTAACGATGATGATAGCAGCGAACATCAGCAACCAGGCCAGAGACAACAGGTACGTGATGCCCATGAACTGGAAAGAAAATCAAAGTATATATCCGTAATTCACATCTGATAACAAATGCCCAATGAAACCCCTCGGCACCGTTCATAATTCATAAGTAAGGAGAGAAAGACCAATGGGGAACTCCAAACCCCCCCTCCCCAAAGGTCCCTCTCCCCGGACCAACAAGGAACGAAAATAAAACCAAAAACAAAACAATATACACAGAAAGACACACAGATAAAACGCCTCGACCAAACCACTCACAATGGCGCAGGAGATCCTTCCGCCCACGCGTCCTCGCCATGTCCTGTAGACCTTGTTCCTGGTGTCGCCCGTCGAAAGGCATCCTACGAAAAGGATCATGAGTCCCAGTCCTCCCATGCCGGCGCCCACCACCATGAAAGTCAGCTGGACCGGCTCTACCCTGGAAAGTCCAACGGGGGAGGAGGATTTCAGAGGCGGCAGACACAGCTTCGGAGTACAGCTGGAATTTGTGCTGTATTCCTGGTATATACGTGTTGATTTCTCCAGAAAAAAAAGAGATATGAGATGGAAGTTATGTTTGTTTTCTTTCCCACGTTGTTCACATAGACAACTTGTATATATATATATTTGCTGATTTCTTACTTTTAAGAAACTGCAAGGTATCTTCTGTGATTAACAAAATTACTGCTCTTTTAACATTCACTTAAAAACAACTTCTAAACATGAAAGACATCAAATACAGAACTTCTCAAAAAAAAAAAAAAAAAAAAAAAAAAAAAAAAAAAAAAAAAAAAAAAAAAACGTACTGTTATTTCACACAATTAGTACGTATGAAAACAGTTACCTATGCATATACAGAGATAATATTTCATATGCTGAGATGCACTTGCTCTCTGTCATAGATGCAGAAGGATTCTCAGGAAACTACCGTAGTTAATATGGGATGCAGCACATACAGTACAAACTATTATTACATATACACGCATGCATGTACTTTACTAAGAAGTCTATAATTACAGCATTTCATCATAGGCTGTTGAATAAATGTCTTGTAAATTATCCATCTCGAAGTAACTCCGCAATATATATATATATGTATATATACACACTCGAATAGTCAGCTTCTTACCCTTACAGCAAAGGCGAGACCACAAACGCGTCACGACAGGACACGATAGGCAGACACGCGGAGAAAAAAGAAAGAAAGAAAGAAAAAAAAACACTTGGAAAAAAAAAACACGTGAGCATCCATTTCACAGCAGCGAGAACAAAGGCCCCTGCCAGTGCCGACAAGTCCTCCAGGGTGTTTATTATGCCAGGGTCCAGGGGGGCAGGGGTAGGGGAGGGGTCACTACCTCGCCCCTCCTCCCCCTCCCCCTCCCCTACTGTGTCACGGGGCCAGGATGAGGTAATTGTCCAGAACCACTTGAGAGCAGCGTGAGAACACTGCATCCACATTTTACTCAATGGGAAGCTAGGATCTGTATCATTCTCTCTCTCTCTCTCTCTCTCTCTCTCTCTCTCTCTCTCTCTCTCTCTCTCTCTCTCTCTCTCTCTCTCGCTCTCTCTCTCTCTCCCTCTCTCTTGCTGAGAGGAGACACAGGGGAGGTCTGAATACATTCCTCCTGCGGATCTCCGGTGTGTGTGTGTGTGTGTGTGTGTGTGTGTGTGTGTGTGTGTGTGTGTGTGTGTGTGTGTGTGTGTGTGTGCGCGCGTACGTGCGTGCGAACACGGGTGTATATGTATATCTGTATACACGAGCGAGTGTTGCACATCTGCCAAGACATCCGCGCAGATTCGTGACAGACAGACAAACCAGCGGATGACCCCCTCCCCCTCCTTCGCCGGGAGAGAAAAGGGGACCTGACCTGACCTCCGCGCGGGGCACCAGGTCCGCCGCAGCCCCGAAACAAGGGACCTTCGCCCCGCCCACGCCCGGGATCGCTTAAGGACCTGATTCAACCCTCAATCCTACGCATTACGGCCCTTTAACTCCTCTTCCTCTCGCTCACTCGATCACACACACACACACATACACATACACACAGAAAGGAAGAGAGAGACAGAAAAGAGAGAGAGAAAGAAAAGAGAGAGAGAGAGAGAAAAGAGAGAGAGAAAAAAAGAGAGAGAGAAAAAGAAAGAGAGAAAAAAGAGAGAGAAAAGAGAGAAAAAAGAAAGAGAGAGAGAATAAAATGAAAGAGGAAAAGAGAGAGAAAGAAAAGGAAAACAAAAAACAAAACAAAAAACAACAGAATGAGAAACTGCGATTGAGAGATGAAGCACCAGCACATTTGCATGTTCGCCTCTTGTGCATGCAACATCCCGCTTGCATGAAAGGGAGGATGAACCTTCCCCTCCCCATCGGCCTTTGAACAAACATCATTCAATCATACGTGTGAACATCACTTGAACATTTTACAAGTCGTTTCGCGCCATCAAATTTTCATTTTACAACCGAATCACAGTTATCAACGCATCCCGAACGCTATATCGAATTTTAATTAAAGATAAACAGCGTAATTCGATTCTCAAAATATAACTAAATAGATCAAATCCAACAAAATATCTATCATGAATCGGTATCAGTCTCAAAATACAACTAACTGAATAGATCAAATCCAACAAAATATCTATCATGAATGGGTATCAGAGTCTCAAAATACAACTAACTGGACAGATCAAATCCAACAAAATATCTATCACGAATCGGGGCTGTGCTGTGCCATCTAGTCAACATGGCACTAACACCTGTTCATCTCATGCACACCCGGTCATCATGCGTGGCCAGCATCGCCTAAGGTCAAAGTTCACGACCCTCTTGAATGAGACAGCGAGTCACACACACATACACACACACACACACACACACACACACACACACACTCAAAAAAACATTTCTTTTACACCGTTAAAAAGACCTTTTTTTCTAGGCCAATCATCTATACAGATTTTCTTTTCTTTTCTTTAATGTCAAATATTATGCCTCATCACGACTTATCTGTATCATAACATCTGTCAGATTCACGAAAATAATGAATTGTCACGTACATGGCATAATTACGTTCTACATAACTCATTAGGTCGAATTAATGAACAAAAAGTTTAGGAGCTTCTTTTCATTATAAGAACTAATAAGTACTTTTCGCATTTAAAAATCTCGCTTCAAAAAAAATCCATTCTTTAATTATCTCATATCTGATTCTTAGATCATAGATTATGTATCAAAACTACCGCACATATGAATAATCTGTAATTAAATATGCACATGAATATAATTGTAGACACAGACATAGACACAGACACAGACACACACAGACACAGACACACACACAGACACACACACACACACACACACACACACACACACACACACACACACACACACACACACAACAACAACAACAACAACAAACATCAAAAACTAAAAAAACTAAAAAAAAAAAAAATAAATAAAATATATAAAAAAACGAAAAACTAAAAAAGAAAAAAGAAAAAAAAAAAGCAAACAGCGAACAAGAAAACCCCGTTATTCCACTTATTGACTTATCGTCGTTTGGAACTCTCTTGCAACCGCTCCTTTAGCTTCGTCAAGTGGCACTTCCTCGACGTAAAACAGCCAATTAGGGCGAAATTGGCCCCAACAACACCATGACGTTTCACTCGCGCTGTTTGGCGGGGGTGATGGTGGGGGGTTGTGTGGGGGATGGTGTGGGTGATGGTGATGGGGATAGTGTGGGTGATGGTGGTGGGTGGAGTGGGGGATGGTGGGGATGGTGTGGGTGATGGTGGTGAGGGTGATGGTAGTGAGGGTGATGGTAGTGAGGATGGTGATAGTGGGGATTTTGGTGGGGGTGAGGGTGATGGTAGTGAGGATCGCGAGGATGGTGATGGTGGTGATGGTAGTGAGGATAGGGCTGATGGCAGTGGAGTAATGATAGTGATGATAGTGGTGATGGTGATAGCGATGGTGCTGAGGATGACGATGACGACGACGGCTGATGACTGACAGTGCAATGATAAACGAAGCTATCGAGACCGACCACGTTGACCGCCTCTCGTCCGCAAATCTGCTTCTCCGAGACAGCATCCAAATAAACCCAAGGCAAACTCATGCTCAGAGAAATCAAAATAACCAATACACGAATCTAAATATGCTCTCCGACCAGAACAAATCCTCACCAAGGCAAATGCAACATCTTTTATGCAACGTTGCAATGTATACAGATTAATGGTCATAACACGGTCTGTCGAACGTCTCTCTCTCGACAAACCACAGTGAGGATGTCTATGCTCTGATGTCATGTTTTGCGTCATGGTTGATGTCATTTGATGGTTCATGTGGTGGCGTGATGTGGTGCTTCATGCGATGTCATGTGTACTTCATGTGATGTCATATGTTCTTCATGCGATGTCATGTGTGCTTAATGTGATGTGATGTGTGCTTCATGTGATGTCATATGTTCTTCATGTGATGTTATATGTACTACATGCGATGTCATATGTGTTTCATGTGATGTCATATGTTTCATGTGATATCATATGTGCTTCATACGATGTCATATGTGCTTCAAGTGATGTCATATTTGCTTCATGCGATGCGTATTGTGGTGTGATGATGATGTCTGATGTCAAATGGTTGATAATGATGCGACGCTGCCACTATTCTTGAAGAACGTTGCTAAGTGGTTTTTATAAGTTGATTTATAAGTATGGTTAAAAATTGAAAATCATGGAGAGAGAGATAGAGATAGAGAGAGAGAGAGAGAGAGAGAGAGAGAAGAGAGAGAGAGAGAGAGAGAGAGAGAGAGAGAGAGAGAGAGACAGAGAGAGAGAGAGAAAGACAGAGCGAGAGACAGAGCGAGAGAGCGAGAGAGAGAGAGAGAGAGAGAGAGAGAGAGAGAGAGAGAGAGAGAGAGAGAGAGAGAGAGAGAGACAGAGAGAGAGAGAGAAAGACAGAGCGAGAGACAGAGCGAGAGAGCGAGAGAGAGAGAGAGAGAGAGAGAGAGAGAGAGAGAGAGAGAGAGAGAGAGAGAGAGAGAGAGAGAGAGAGAGAGAGAGAGAGAGAGAACTGACAACACCGGTAAGAAATAAAACTAAAAATAAAACAAGACCTGAATAAAAAAAAAAAATCTATCCATACAAATAAACAAAAATAATACAAAAAAACAAGAGAAAAAAACAAAAAACACTATATATATAACAAATCAAGGAGTTAGTAAACAAGCAATAAAGGGAAGTGTCAAAGAAAAAGTGTCTTTCCTTGACACGTCCACAGCAATGCAAATATTTTTTTTTTCTTTTCACAATTACATCATGCAGCAGCAGCAATCACAAGGCCTTCGTTTATTGGAAAATGGAAGAAGAAGAAAAAAAAAATCGAAAGACAAAAAAAACAGAAAAAAAGGAAAACAACATTTCGCATTTTTTTTCCGTTATTTTGAATTTCGAAAGAAAAAGCGCGGCGGTAAATGAAATCAAAAAAAGAATATATATATGTAAATATGTAAAATGACATCACGATGGGTCGCTGCAACAAGCCAATAATATTATTGCTGTTATTTTAAATCATATATCTTTTTTTTTATTTTTTTCAATTCGATCCACTTCTGCCAGTGACGAGACAACGAGCAACGGCATGCAACACAGGTGGAAGAAGTGTGAACAGCTACGTCTCCACTTCCTCTTCCATTGGCACTGGCACTTCCGTGGCACCTCAAAAAAAAAAAAATCCTTATGACGTCACGATGCCATGTTATCATTCATTTTTTTTTTTAACAGCCTTCAAACAGTACAGTAAGTAGGTCTATCATACACGTTGTTGTCATACAAAATCAGCGTTCAAAAGCTCGTATAATGGAGGATTTTGGTCTCTCCTTAGGAAAAAAAAAAAATTATACAAGTGGGCCTCTGCAGGATACTAAGAGAACCTCTCTTGTTATCAGTATCATTATTTTTTTTTTTGTTTAGCATTTGAAACCGTCTGGGAAATTTCGTGCGCGGGACTAGACCGTCGACCAAGAAAGAGCGAAGAGAAGAGAAAAATCAAAACAAGAACAGAAAGACTTTAAAACGAGACATTATTATTTACTTTTTTAATGAAAAAAAGAGAGAGAAATATGTATATATATATATTTAAACAAACAAGTAAACCACAAGATAAAAAAACAAAAAAAAAAACACAAAGAAAGCAGAAAGATGAAGCCTAAAGATCTTAAAATTTCCTTCAAAGCAATTTTCTCTTTTCTTTCCCCAGCCCTCCCCTTTTAGAAATCTTTTTTTTTCTTTTCTTTTTTCCATTTCTTCAACACAAGGAACGCCTTCCTGACGCAGGTCTGAGTCCCAATATTTCCTCGGGCTTTCAAACGCTCTTGCAGGTTTTGAGGGAAAGGTGAAAGGCGCAGAAGGTTCAAGCAGAGGTCAAGACAGGACACTAACTGTTTACCTGTACTCCCGGTCCCTGCATCACGCGGCGACGACACACACACAGAGAGGAGGAGGAAGAAGAAGAAGAAAGGGGGGAAAAAAAAGAAAAAAAAAAACTAAATAAAAAAACACAATTCACCATAACAGACACTTTGGTTTCTGTGTTTGTATTGAACGCGACGAAGAAGAAGACTGATGAAAAAGGAGGAGTGAAAACTGGCTTAAAATAAATATGGGGAGCAGCAAACAACAACAACTTTTTTTTTTTTTTTTGTCTTTAAAGAGTAAGAGGAATACATACACAAATTATAATAATTAAGTCAACTACTTGAATTCTTCGCCAACACTTGGACAAGACATTTTGGGCAGTCTGATGTAAATATACTTTTTACTTTAACCAGGAAGTTTTATTTACATCAACAGACAATCTCTCTCTATTTTATTGACTTTTATCATCATTCAGTTGCAGAAAACTATTACATTGCAAGCTTAAGTCAACTATACAAGTAAAGGAAATATTGCACTAAATTACACAATTATATACTGTTAAACTTGCACCAAAATCACAGATAACAATAACAATAACAATAACAATAATAATATCAATAATAATAATAATAATAACAACAATAATAATAATAGTGAC